CGTTAGCATTAACATTAACAGCGAAATCAACATTGACATTAACGCCAGCGTCAACATCAACATTAGCATTGTCAGCAACATTAGCATTAACACCGACATCAACATCGACGTCAGCATTAACATTAACAGCGACAGCAACAGTGACATTAACACTCACATCAACATCGACGTCAGCGTTAACATTAACAGCAACATTGACATTGACGTCAGTGTCAACATCAACATTATCATTAACATCGACATCAACATCAGCATTAGCATTAGTGTTAAGCATCGGCAGCAAGATTGGCCTTAACACCGACATCAACATCGACGTTAGCATTAACATTAACAGCGAAATCAACATTGACATTAACGCCAGCGTCAACATCAACATTAGCATTAGCATCGACATTAACATCAGCATTAGCATTAGTGTTAGCATCGGCAGCAAGATTGGCCTTAACACCGACATCAACATCGACGTCAGCATTAACATTAACAGCGACAGCAACAGTGACATTAACACTGACATCAACATCAACGTCAGCATTAACATTAACAGCAACATTGACATTGACGTCAGTGTCAACATCAACATTAGCATTAGCATCGACATCAAAATGAGCATTAGCGTTAGTGTTCGCATTGGCAGCAAGATTGGCCTTAACATCAACATCGACATCAGCACTAACATTAAAAGCGACAGCAATATTGACATTAACGTCATCATCAACATTAGCATTAACATCGACAACAACATCAGCATTGGCATTGACATTAGCGTTAACATCAGCAGCAACATTGGCCTTGAACCGACATCAACATCAAAATCAGCACTAACATTAACAGCGACAGCAACATTGACATTAACGTCAGCGTTAATATCGACATTAGCATTAACATCGACATCAACATCAGCATTAGCATTAGTGTTAGCATCGGCAGCAAGATTGTCCTTAACACCGACATCAACATCGAGGTCAGCATTAACATTAACAGCGACATCAACATTGACATTAACGCCAGCGTCAACATCAACATTAGCATTGTTAGCAACATTAGCATTAACATCGACATCAACATTAGGATTAGCCTTAGCATCGGCAGCAAAATCAGTCTTAACACCGACATCAACATCAACGTTAGCAATAACATTAACAGCGACAGCAACATTGACATTAACGTCAGCGTTAACATCGAGATTAGCATTAAAATTAACAGCAACATCAACATCAATTGCAACGCCAGTAAGAAGGGCGTGTGAACAATATTTAATAATGAATATATGAAGACCAAGATGTTGTGGCCTCTGGTATGGTCTCAGTCTCCTTTCGATGTATAGAAGTGGGTTGACGTCGTTGTCGCAACTTGGTCCTGTTGTCAGAGCGATTTAATAGAACGCACCTAGTTCGCTGTTGTCTGCCAAAATAGTTGTCATGATTCCCATGAAAGTAAGCTCAACAATTATAAAACAAGAGATTCCTCGAAATCCAACTTTTCTTCGCATCATTCCCAGCATCAGACAGTGGACTTGGTACATTCTCAAACGTTTCGCCGTCATCGTAGCCGGCATCTTCAGTGAGTTTTGCCATTCTCCGCACGAAGCTACGAACTCGTCAAAGAGACAAGTGGAGTCAATCCGAAAACGGTTACACTATCACACCTCTTTCTGTCCTGGCCGAGCTTGCTCTTGTCTCTTTGACGAGTTCGTAGCTTGGAGCGGAGAATGGCAGCACTCACTGATGTTGCCGACTACGATGCCGGCGAAACGTTTGCGAATGTACCAAGTCCAATGTCTGATGCTGGAAATCATGACAACTACTATGGCAGACGACTTCAGACAAGCTGTGCTCTACATAGTCGCCCTGACAACAAGACCAAGTTGCGACCAAGAGGTCAACCCACTTATAATATTTAATATTAATTCTCGTTAAAAGTAGGTGTTCAGAATATCAGCAATTCGGCAGCAACAACACTCAAGCCATGCTATTGACTCTCAATTCGTCACTTTAGTCGCTTCATTTTACTCATCCTCGCGGTGATTAGTCGTCGAAACTGCGCCCAAAGCTTGCTGTGCCATTTGCACTCGGAGGGCCTCACTTGCTGATTGATGCACGAAGGAAACGCACGTCTCGAAGAGCCTCCAGAGACAGAAGTTCCGTTCGGCTCTAACTCGACGTCTTCGCCCGAAAGGCTGGAGGATGTCTCGTGGACTGCATCAACCTGAACGTCGTGCTACCGCCAAATGGCTGCAGTACAGCGCGAATCTGCCGGCCTCTTTTGGTGAGAAGTTGTCTGACCCTGTTTTCGCAACTTGGTCATGTTGGTGGGAAGACTTTGAGGAACGCACCAAGTCCGGAGTCCATTGTATGTAACATCATTTCCAGAGTAGGACCGTGGACATGGTACATTCCGAAATGCCCTAAAAGTTACCTTATCACGAGTCGTTGTGGTTGCCTAATTCCGTGAACAGCAGCAATTGCAAAGTTGAATGAGTAATTGAAGACTGTTATTTCGTAGGCCAATCTCGCCAAAACATCGAAGGTATGAAGACCAAGATGGTGTGTCCTTTTGTGTGATCGCAGGCTCTTTTCGTTGTATAGAAGTTGTCTGACCCTGTTTTCGCAACTTAGTCATGTTGGTGGGAAGACTTTGAGGAACGCACCAAGTCCGGAGTCCATTGTATGCAACATCATTCGTATTAAAGTAGGGTTTCGAGAA